TTCCGCCGACGATGAGATGCCTACGATATGACAAGGGCAATCATGGTGCTTAACCAGGATGAACAATCATCGGAAGGATAAAACATGCTTGGCATTTGATATATCTACGGCTAACACATTTTCAAGATGACGTGCTGCGTTTTTAAGTGTCGACAGACACCTCTAGGTAGTTCAGACATAGTGGCCAGCCCGGAGTCTGCTTCACCGAGGCAAGGTACCGATGTCGAAATTGCCAACCTCGGAAACCCCCACATACCTCCACACGTCCGACTTCAACGACACAACATGATCGACCAGGCGATGAATGTGCGAATCACTTGAACACATATTCGTATCACTTACGAGGGTTGCTTGATGGACTTTGGTGTGCCTCAGGTAATACTCGAGGCATGATGCTGAAGCTCCTCATCAGCATCCTGCAATTATCACCCATTCTAAGTATCTTCCAACATCTATCACCTTCCTTACTTCAGTCTAATCCCAAGCCATGGGAGGGAAGAGCAGTTTGTAGCGCAAAATTCCACATCCTGCTTGCGTTTTTTTTTTTTTTTTTGCCTTGACTTGAATGGTTACTGCCTGGATATCCGTACTCTAACAGGCAGCCAGGATCTTTCTATAGGTTGACAGCAGCTCATTCCGAAGAGCTGTGTACAACAATAGACCCTTCAACATTTTAGTATCCTAGTAATCGTGTCTGCTTGAACTTGATATCTTTGCAGTTGATTTGACTCAATTTGCCAATAAGACATCACTAATCAGCTTTCTTCAGAGTAATATCGATCATTCTGTTGGCCAGTATCTGATCTTTCTGGCCCGGTCCTTCTAGTGATGACCAGGACCAGAGTTTTGGTCAAGCATCCATGGTTCGAATTATTCAAGCCTCGTGCTCAAGAAGACTACATCTGCCCATTCATGTCGTTGTGTGTACGGGGCTTCGATACACTCCTCTCCCCAAAGCCGATGGAGCTGTCCCAATTCCCGATTCTCAATGTCACTCTGGATGAGCAACGCTGCTCTCGGTTGTGTATTCCCTCGTTGATTCTGCCCGGATAATTACAATACTCTTACAAAGCACACTGTTGTTCACTTGAGGTGAATCACCACGGATTCACTCACGGAAGGTGGGCCCAACCTCAACTTCCACTCAAGGTAGGTAGGTAGGTAGGCAGGTCGCTACTGCCTCTTTTGAAAAGGTCTGCAGCACCTACCTTACCTTCCTGCCTTTCCCTCACTGGAGTAAATTACCTCCGATTTTCTTTCTCTTCCTTCCATCACTCTCGTCAGGTTGACGACATCTACCAGAATCCTCCCCACGGTCTATTCTGGTTGTGTACTTCAACTTCTCACCTCCTTCAGTCCTCGCGACAATACTTCGCCTGCCGATACATCGCGGCCCATAGGTTCCTTCCTGCCACTCATTCAATCTGCTATCTAGTAGCCACGGCGTTCTTTTTAGCATCCTTGGGTTGTCAGCTTGGCACCATTCAAAGCGTACGCCATCGCGCTGTGCTCGAGACAACATACCGAGGTAAGTTATTTCAGCGCTTGTGTTGCCGTTGAAGAAATCTCACTGATAGAATTCAGATGCTCTTTGCGACGTGGAATGTTGGCTACGGGCCGATCGACGATCTTCACGCGTCCCTCACAGTAAAAGACAATCATACGTCTCCCGCGCCACAGAATATTGTAGGTCTTCTCTCTTGATCCCATACCTGTTTTACTTCATGGAACTAATTCCACCAACTGGAGCTCTCCGACAGAGATTGTGGTCGCCGAATGGTTCACTCGTTCAATAGCGTCCACGAATTCGCTCGCGTTCATCGCGAAGGAACCATCATAGAGATGGCGAACGAGGCTTCTGCCATCAAGAGGTTCAATGAAGCGCTTGAAGCCAGATACGCTTGGGTTATTGCTCCTGTACCGGGTCCTTATTCACTCATCGAGTCGGATCTGCAGAAGAAGTGGATTGTGCTCGCCGAACTGCCATCGACACCGGAACGCCATTTCCCTGATGAGGGCGACATGTGCAATATCTCATTCAAGCGAGATTTCGTTTGCAAGGGCAAGAAATATAACCCTGGAACTCTCTCCGCCCAGCGCATTCCCAACCCATACGAGACGATCCCGGAGTTGTACCAGTATTCCCTACTGGCAGCATTCAACGTTATCATGGACTACATTGCCGACCCTATCACGAAGCAGCAGTACCACCCGCTCTTCTCAATCGCTGTGAAACAGGATCTGAATTTTGGCTTCGGGCCAACGCCCCTCAGCTTGCAAAATGCCACTGAGATCTGCCTTCGGATCGATCAGAATCCTGTGACGTATGAAGCTGAATTGACGGCATTGAGCATCTTGACTCAGCCGAAGAAAGAGGGAAACGAACTGTCAGAAAACACCATTGGAACCTTCGAGTACTTGCTGGATTTCCGGAAAGAGCCCAGTTTCTACATCAACATGTTCGACAAGATCCCACACATGGACAACCCTGCTAGCCATTCCAATGCGTACCTGCAGGCTGTCTACCGCCGACTCAATGCAGACCACAAGAATGTTTACGAGCAACTTCGTCGGATTCCAGCGGGACTTGCGATCATTCTTGGTTGTCCTGGTGCTGGAAAGACAGCGTTGAACGCCTTTATCTCTGCTATGGCCGTCTCTCAGTCTCGCCATATTGTGCGCGATGATGGGAAGAAGAAACACAAGCCGGTCAAAATCCTGTATCTTCTCGACGTCAATTACCCCTGCGATGATGCAGCAGACAGAGTGTACTCAACGTTGAAAAAAGCCGGCATCAACAAGTCGGTGATTAGGGTTCGAGGTTGCGCTCGCGAGATGCGAAGCAGTGCAAAGCTTCACCCAGTGCCCTCAGCAAGCGAAGATGACGAGCCTGACTTCACCGCCGGATTCCTCAGACAAGTTCGTGCTTCTGTCGGTCTTTCGAATGGTACCCGTTCTACTAATGAAGCCCGTGGCGATCGAGCGCCATCCCTGGATGAAGTTGCGTGGGAGAGGTACGATGTTGACCGAACCCGATACAAGTCTTTGACCAAGATTCTCGAAAAGCTCGAGAACGGTGCAGTCAAGACCAGAAAGACAGCAAGAGAGCTCAAGAATCGTGTGGCCAGGCTCTATCTCTCCGTGATCGGAGACGCCGATTTCATTGCCACAACTCCTGTTGGCGCGTCTGGGTACCTGAGCAAAAACTTTCATCCGGACATTGTGTTTCTTGATGAAGCTGCTCATGCCAGAGAACTTACAACCCTCATCCCTATTGCGCTGTATTCACCCTGTGCGTTCATTCTAACCGGCGATACCCGACAAACTAGACCCTTTGTTGAAGGTGGTAAGGGCACGGAGAAGGAGAACATCTATGCAAAGCAGCTCATGATAAGCACCATGGAAAGAGCGGATCTTGCCGGGGCTCTCAAGAGCAAATTGCTTATCAGTCACCGTAAGCACTGTGATATATTGTTCGTATGACTACAATGCTAACGACGTCCAGGAATGTACGGAGACCTCCAAGTATTGGTATCAGAGTTGTTCTATGATGGACAATTGACTTCAGGAATCCCCGAAGCTGAGCGCTTCTCCGACCCCGTACGCCACATGCAAAAATGGCTCGGGCAATTCACCAGGGGCCAGGAATGTACTGTCCCTCGAATCCTGCTCAACCTACGGTACTCCAAGGAGATGAAAGACCGGTCGAGCTTCTACAATCAGGTTCACGAGAATTTCATCAAGCAGCGCTGTCACGAACTGCTCCGACACCCAGAATTCAAACAGGTTGACAAGCCTGACCAACCTGGACGGATCCTGATTATCACACCGTACAAGGCTGCTTTGATTCGGTATAGACAGTTCATCAAGACTCTTCCGCCTCACTTCCGGGGAAGGATGGACGTGGAGTTACGATTCAATGCTCTCGAAGCCCGCACTGTGGACTCTGCTCAAGGACACGAGGCAGACTTTGTGTTTGTTGACACGGTTAGGACGAGAAGCGCTGGCTTCCTCGACGACCCAAAGCGTCTGTGCGTGATGTTGTCTAGAGCTCGAGTTGGAGAGATGATTCTCATGCATGAGGGCATGACGAAGAAACGGGACCGTAACCAGCAACAGCATGATGCGGAATGGACTACCAAGGTCTATGATCATTGTCGCAAAAACGGTCAGCTTCACTATTTCGGTTGAACAAATGGCTGTGCGTTTGAGGTGGTAGATTGATTGTGGAGTTTGGATCAGGCAGCGGACGATGTCCCCGTTACAGCAGCTTGTGGAATGTTACCTTGGAGGATAGATACTGCCATAGAGAGAGCCCAAGAATGAGATAATTGCAGTAAGCTTTGAAAGACATTTGATGACACCGCGGGCTACTCGACTATCTACGATAGTGCAGCCTGATCTCGATTCGGCCAAGTTAGTCTCGAGGTGGTACCACATTAAGCAGGCTGCGGAAAAACGAGGAGTGCGTCCAGAACATGGCTCATTGCCAATGATATCCTTTCGAAACTAGTTACGAGAAGATGGAAACACCTAATGGAGACTGAACCGACTGAACCGATCGCCATGCGGAGACCATCACCAGTGTGATGCTGCCTTGGGTGTCACAGCATTTGCCATGCCTGATCCTGTTCTATCCCAGTCTACAGCCTGATTCTTTGAGTAAAGTAATAATATCATTGGCTTAGAACGATCGTCAGGCCGTTGTTATTGTATCCTAAAAGAGCAGCTGAAAAGGCTTGCCAAGAAGATAAGCAACTGCAGAGTGCCTTTCCTCCGCTCGAGAAGCGTGCACCCATATAAAGTAACTGATACCGGTCAGTTCCCCCACACAATATGAGAATGGAGGCTTTCCCACCTTGTTAACCGCGCATTGAGATAGTATCGATTTCTCTCTTTCGACGAAGATTAGGTGACAGAATCGGTTGCAACATCGCCGCGATTCGCCCAGGCATCACCACCGATTGCCGACTTCAATCGGCCGCACACAACCCCCGTCAATGAACCATGACCAGCGTTCCAGCTGTATGTTTTGCTGAATGTAGTGAGTTTCTTTCCTCTACCTTCACCGATGTTCGCCACACAACTGACAATATTTGTACCCAGACAATGCCTATATTGAGGCGCAAGGAGTCGGGAAAGACCCTTCCTTGTGCAACATCGCGTCGCCCTTTGCGAAAGATCTCATAGATTGTCAGGTTTGTATTGGAGTCAATAGCAAGAACTCGACCAGTTTTGAGGATCTTGGACCCGGATTTCAACAATATCTGGACCTCTGCAACCAAGTACAGACGGTCACGTACGCCACTACCATCACATACCTCAATGGTGACGTTGAACTGGTAACTCTGACGAAGACAACAACGGGCCCGATAAATTACGCCCCGACCACCTCGACTCCTTCTGCGTCTACTTCGTCACAGAGTGTCATGCCTACAGAATCAGCTTCGACAGGTTCGTAACCGCCTGAACCGTCTTGATAGAAAACCTCGACGTTAACCAAAAGATCAGAATCGACCCCAGCCCCCAATCGAGCATGGGTAGCCGGTCTGGTCATTGGCTGTGTCGCCGTCACTGCTCTTGTTACTGGTTTCTGGTTTTTCAGACGCAGAAGACGGAGAGCCAATCAGGCAGCTATTGAGAACACGAGCGAAGCACATGACGAGTATACCAAGGCCCAACTTCACTCCGACAGTCTGCCTCCCAAGCCTGCCATAGAACTCGAGGGGTCATACCCAGATCCTGTACCGGAGATGAGCGTGAACGAGATTGCTGCACAAGAAATGTTAGTCCCGCACAGCCACCACGTTGCAGAGATGCCAGAGAAACGTAATTGAGCAGTTCGAGTACGCACAACTAGTCGAGGCATGGCTGGGAACAGTACACGAGGTGTAGAGTGAAGCAGCGTGCCGAGCAGCATAAGAACAAATGAAGAACGTAGTGCCACTCTTTCCAGCCATGGTTAGTCTTCGTTCCATACGCATCGCAGCTACCCGTGCCGTCCTCAAAGGTCCAGCAAACATCAATGTAAGTCGACCAAAATCACGAGCCAGCCCAGATTTCCTCCATTCTAGGATCTTTTGTGTCTTTTCACGGGTAACTGGGCAGAGTAACCCGGACGCCACGTAAGACGAGCCATCGTACGGCCATCACCACGAAACACACTCTTGTCAAGTTACACAGCATGACGGTACGCTCTCATTGGGCGCTTATCACCCATCGCACACTCCCGCACCATCCCATTTGGCCTGCGGGATCATGCTTACGGGCTGGCCGCACCGGAGATCACGGACTACCGTTGAGCGGCTCATACCCGTTGCCAAGAAGGGCAAACTTCTGTGCAGCAGAACCGATTACTATGACATGGTGTGGCGTTGGCGGTCGTATAAAGTCAGCTGCATGCCCGGTGTACCTTGACGCTGTCAGCATCTTTCATGTCTGACGCTCCATCTTGCGGGGGACGAACCCTCATAACTTACAAAACCCAAGAGAAAAGAAACGTTAATGACCTGACTTAATCGAATGCTTCAAGTCGACTGAAGATGTCGGCTTCGATAATCACATCGACGACTGGGGCTACTTTCACGTACCCTACGCCAGAACCATCCATGGTGACCTATTCGGCCAGGGCATATTTCATGACGAGTCCATCGGGACCATGCATGAAACGTTTAAGTATGCATTTCTTTTAACAAGTTTCTCGATCTCTCGGAGGTGAACTGCCGCCAGCGACTGACCACCGCTGCGTCTTAGATGCCCTCTACATATACATCCAGGCAATCGGCAAACAGCCATTGATCTGCCACAAGGACGCGCACTTTCAGACAGAGTACGAAGATTGTATTAATTGCTTACACGTCACCGTGGAGGATTCAGCAACGTACATATCTAAACGCGTCGAGCCGAAATTCAAAGAGTATCTAGACTACTGCAACGGTAAACCTCCGGACTGGACGTACGCATCTTCACGATTGACTGTCGTCACCCGCGCGCACTGGGGACCCCTTACAGACTTTTATGGCGAACTGGTGGCGGGAGGTCTCCAGACGATCACGGCGACGGAGCTCAAACCGACGGACAGCAGTGAGACAGGCGGCGGATGGCCGTCGTCGTCCTCGACAGAAACTGGGAAGACACCCGGGGCAGGAGACTCAGGTATGATGTCTGGAACAGCCATATTGACGCGATGATGATGCTAATCAAGCGGGATACCAGGACCGATACCAGGTAACTCGGCATGGATAGCAGGGCCGGTCATTGGCGTGATCACGGCCATTATGCTTCTCCTCGGCGCGCTCTGGTTTCTCAGACGACGAAGACATCGAGCGGTTGATAAAGAGGAGTCCATGGCGACCGGTATTGCCATTGGTACTCGTGGTGGTGGCTATGGCCAAGGGAAATATGAAAAGCCGCAACTGCATTCGGATTGTATCCCGCGTCGAATGGAGCTCGAAGGATCTTACCCGAATTCACCCATGAGCCCTATGTCTGAGATGACTGCAAACGAAGTCGCGGCTCAGGAGCTTTCAGTGCCGGGTAGTCAGCATGTTGAAGGGGTCACGGAGAAGAGTAGCTCTGCCAGGCCGGAGAGCCCGATTCTTGGATGAAGTAGGGAGGTTGTTTTCACTTAATTCCCGTTGGAGATGGTTTTCAACGTAATAGTGAAGGTCGGTCCCCTCATTCGAGACCAAAGTAACAGCTAAAATTGAGTCTCATTTTTAATTTATGTATGTTTTCTGAGAGGGCGTGGTATCAACATCATGCTTCACACAAGCCGGTCGCCTGAACTAGGTTTAGTCCTTCTCAACCGATCATGTTTCGCCTCATCCTGCTCGACCCAGTGAACTGCAAGTTCTCATTGCCCGTAACACCGGTCAAGACGTTGCCGATCCCCTGCACCTCGCCGTTGCCGCCCTGCATGATAGCCGCATAGTTATTCGCAATCAGCTGGATACCCGACACGAACCCCTGCTCGTCGAAAGCGCAGTGCCCGCCGTTGGGCGAGTTGTTGACCGTCTGCTTGGCGTTGACCTGGGCGGTACTCAATCCCGCGTCCGTCGCAATCTTCTCGTACGCCTTCACGGACGCCGGGATCGCTTCCTGCAAGTTGGAGAGCTCCTGCAGCGTGCTCTGGAAATGGATCCTCGTGCCCGCGACGGCTTTCGCGTCGACGACGTCGACTTGCGGTGGCAGACCGCCGCAGTTAAGCAGCACGCCGTTGCCGGCGAAGTTCTGCATGTGCGCGGGCATGAAGAAGCCCGAGAGCATCAGGGACCCGCCCGAGACGCCCGTGAAGAAGACGTTGGACTGGTTGAAGGCCATCATCTGCGGCAGCGTCTTCTGGACGAGGTCGTTGACGGCCTGGGAGTGGGCTACGCCGTCGGTGCGCTGGAGACCCTGGCCGCCGCCCCAGAAGAGGTTCGGGTCCGGAGCGAGGACGGCGACGCCGGCGAGGTTCTGCTGGACGCCCTGGTTGGGCATGTCGAAGAAGGATTGGCCGCCGTCGCCGTGGAGGAGGACGTTGAGGCCGAGGGTGCCTTGGGCGCCGGGTTGAGCGGCGGCGCCGGGGACGCCGGAGGCGGCGGTGAATTGTTCGGCCGGGCCACTGATCTTGAAGCGGAGGTCGAGGCCGCTGGGAGGGGGGTAGTGTTAGTCCATGGCCCCCAAAGAGGAGAAGGCGAACAACGGGACTTACTTGACGTTGGCGGTCATGTCCAGAATCATGGATCCGTCAGTCGCTTGCGAGACGCCCTGGGGCACCGCGGCGGCCTGCTGCTGCGCCGTCTGCCTGTTGGCGCGGCCGTTTCCGTTTCCGCCACGGTTTCCGTTTCCTTTCCTGTTCTGGGGCTGAGGCGCGCCGTGGACGACGCTCAGCAAGCTGAGGACCACCGCGAGGGCGGCGACGGGGGAGCGGACGGTCAACATCCTGGTCGAAAGCGGAAAAGAAGGAGGGAAGAAGAAGACTGTGTATTAGAAGACAGGAATATAAGAAGGGAAAAAAAAGCTGCCAAGCTTGCGGCGCGTCGCTCTCCCACGAAGATCAAAGTGGTCTTGGAAAGAAAATTCTTGGTATGAAACGAAGATTCGGAATTTTCCAGAAACCCGGGGAAGGAAAATCAAAAGGAGAGGAAAAGAAAGCCAAAAGGAAGGTGGATGGGGTGGCAGGTTAGGTTTATCTTAAAGAACCGTTTGCTTGCATGAGCATCGGCCATCCCATGGTCATGGGTATTGAACAGCCTCTCCTCTCACGGTCTCGCCGTCCGAATGATAACCGACGGCTTCTCTCCTTTCCCTCGCCTTCGCTCTGGCACTGACCAGCATCGTGGCTGGCTCTATCCCATCTCTTTTTGGCTCCTCTGCATGGGTTCGACTTCTCAAGCGAGCTCCCCCGGCTTCAGACTAAACATGGGGAAAGAAGGACGTATCAACGGTCAACCTTTCCTACCAGCGAGCCCAGCTGGCGGGAGCCATACAGGCCATCTGCGAAGCGAACCATCTCAATAATGGAGAGACGAAAAAGAAGGGAGGGGATAAGCTTGTGTTGTCTCTGTTTCGCCTGGACTCGGTTGTGTGTGAGAGTTGGGACAAGTCAGTCTGGGTCTGATCGCCCCCCTCTGGCTCGTACACGAGTTAGTCATTACTCCGTAGTCAAATACTTAGAGGACGGGAGTGGCTTTTGATCTTCAGCATACCAGGGGGGGCAAAGGGGAAAGCCTGACTGGTCAATCAGTTCGACATGGAGCTAGGTTGTCCGGGACAATTGTCACCCAAAAGAGTGCCTCTCTAGGCCTACACAACCAAAAGTGCGTGTAGGAAGTATGAAAAGAGATGGATTGCCAGCGAGAGGCTCGACGACTGTTTCGCTTGGCGCTGCGTCTCCCGACTCGGGAGCAGAGCCATCCAGGGCACCAAGTTCAAGTTCAACAACAAGGTGTCGCAGAGCGTTTGAGGTTCTTTGTCGTCCGGCCTGCACTTTGCAGCAGAAACTCGAAACCGACCCTGGGCGCCCGGGTCCACCCCTGCGAAGCCGCAAGGCACACCCGCTCGGGGCTTGTCGCTTCAGACCCCGGTTCGGGGGGGTACGTCTCCCACTCGGGAGGCGACCATCAATTGACAATTACAGATTTTATTTCCCTGATCTTCCCGCGCGTGACAGCGAATGGAGATGTTTATTTTGCCGTGGTGAAATGCTTCCATGTAGATTTCCAAAGGTTCCGGTTCCACTACTAAGAGGCGGGGGCCTGTTTGATGGGGTTTCTGCGACGTTGAGAGGCTTGGTATCCGTAGGTTGTTTTGGATCCCTGGTTGCGCTAAGAGATGCTTAAGTGCGACTAAGCATTGAGGCTCTTTGAGGGGGGTTAGCCGATGTGGGTTTGGCGAGTCAAGATCGTTCCTTTAGGTACGAGGAATAAATGACTGGTGGTTGCTTCTATAAAGTTTGCACAAGATACTGAATGATACTAGGGTGAACGGCATGCTTCAGGAATCGGCGGGTTCGTAATCAAGTAAGTTACTTGAAGGAACTCAGGACGGAAGCCAAACATGACACATGTTTCTTCGACACTTATTCACTTACTTTTCCAACGACCACAGGGGCTCAGACGTCACTTGTTTCGGAGCTGACCTGTCTGAACTTCGTATTCAGCCAAACAACAACATTCTGATGTACAGAAGACGCTAAATATAAGCATTGCGTGCATTTCGTAGGCATAACGATTAGCGCACACACCCGAACGATCATCTAATACCCAGCATCACATCAATCCAACCCTTCTAAACACTAGCCAAAAACCTCGTGCTCCCCATAGTTCATATATACATATCACAGTACATATATCTCAAAGCTTGGCACCCTTGGATCTCCTGGCTTCCTTTTCGCGGTCGCGGAGTAGACGGCGCAGAATCTTGCCGCTGGGGCTCTTGGGAATGACGTCGACAAACTCGACGCCGCCCTTGAGCCACTTGTGCCGCGCCTTGTGTTCCTCGACGTACTTACAAATCTCGGCCGACACCTCGGCCTCGGGCTTGGAGGCGTAGGCAGCGGCGCGGACGACGTACGCCTTGGGCACCTCGCCGGCGCGCTCGTCCGGCACCTGGATGACGGCCGTGTCGGACACGGCTGGGTGGGTGAGCAAGTGGGCCTCGAGCTCGGCGGGCGCGACCTGGTGGCCCTTGACCTTGATGAGCTCCTTGATGCGGTCGACGATGACGAGGTGCTCGTTGCCCTCGGCGGACTTGCGAACGAGGACCTCGTCGCCCGTCTTGATCCAGCGGCCGTCTTCGTGCCATACAAACGTCTCGGCGTTGGCCTTCTCGTTGTGCAGGTAGCCCAGCACGACGGAGGGTGACTGCACCAGGAGCTCGCCGGGGGTGTTGTACTCTGTGATCTCGGCGCCTGTCGTGGGGTCGACAATCTTGCCGCGCGCACCAGGGACGAGAGAGCCTGATGATCCGACGTCGATGTCGATCTCGGAGGTTGTGCAGACGACAGTGCTGGTCTCGGTCATGCCTGGATTTGTTTTAATAAACATGGCCAAGCAAATGGTGCAAAACGATAGCTTACCGTATCCTTGACCCACGTGCCACTTGGGGTATTGCTTCTTAAGATCCTCCACGGTTTCCGCGCCAAGCGGCGCCGCACCTGTGTATACCCAGCGCACATTGGTAAGGTCGTATTTGTTGCAGAGATCTTGGTTGCGGATGACTTGAATGACGATCGGCGGGACCTGCTTGCGTTAGAAGATGTACGTACAACGCTTGTATTGCCGCCAATGAGCACTTACAACGGGGAGGCAGTTAATCTTGAAGCGCTGAACGGCATCGAGGAACTGCTTCAGTTCAAACTTGGGCAGGACAATGATGCCGTCGCCGCGCCACGTGCCGCAGTGAGCAATGACAACCAGGCCGTAAATGTGACTAAAGGGGAGGAGACCGAGAGTGGCTTGTGTCCTAACGCCAAGCTTTCTCCTCGCGACTGTTTCATATGTTGTGAATTGCAGGACGTTCGCGATGACGTTCCTGTGTGAGATCATAACAGCTTTCTGCAGCCAAATCAGTCTACGAACCTCGACATACGTTGCGATCGCCTCTAGGACCCAGAAGTACTCACAGGCAAACCCGAGGTGCCGCTCGAGTAGCACAAGAAAGCAACCTGACGTGCTCCCTGTCCCTTGACCCACTTGAGAGGTTCCAGCTCCGGCAGAGACTTGCCCTCTTGGATCAAGTCATCGATAGTGACATAGGGTGTTTTTTGATCGGCGCCCGGTACCGGCAGCAAAAAGATGCGGTCCTCGGGGATGTTGGCGCCCTTCGCGGCCTTGAGCGCGGTTTCAAGCAACGGGATGCAGGTAAAGAGAGCTTTCGAATTGGACGACCGCAGCTGGTGCTCCAACTCTTGAGCTGAATAAGCGGCGCTAGCGGGAGTGACGATGCCGGACAAACGGTGCATGGCATGGGTGAAGGGGATGTAATCGATCTACGCACTACTTTTAGTCCCGTGGGTGATGTGGGGTTACTTGGGCACCATTGCTACTCACTGTGTTGAGGGAGAAGAGGCAGACGACCTTTTCCCACTCGGTACCCTCGTTTGGTGCGAACTCGAGCTTCTTGGAGATACCTCTCGCCAACAAGTCTGTTCGCTCCCTCACCTCGAATGCCGAATATGACTTGCCGGTGAGGCCGCAGGTGTACGGGCTTCTGGAATCCTTGAGGGCATAGCGACCGTATCTCTCGTTGCTCATGAACTCTTGGATTGTGATTGAATCCGGAGGATCTGTGATGTTTCAGTGAGCGCTGGTCACGGCAAAACGTTGGGCAAGGCCCGAGGGCCCGAGGGGAATATCTTACCGATGGGCAATTGAGGAACCCAGTTTGGCGAAGTGAAGACCATCTTGAGCGGCAAAGAGAGGGACAAACAGAGATAGAGAGAAGCCAGGTGAGAAGCTTTGTGTTTGCGCGTTCAAAGATCGTGTCCTTGAAGCCTTGCCGCGCGAAGAAGATGGTCCGTCGTTGAGAGATGCGAAGCGTTGTTGAGAGAGGAAAAGATTCGGGGGAGGTTCGGACTTTTTGAATGATGTCAAGCTGCGCACGAGGCTCGGTGGATAGCTGAAGCTCAATTGCCGAGCAAGCGGTTTGGTTCAAAAGGAAAACTGACAGCGAAGGGGACCGACCGGGGCGGGAACAGAGTTTAGATCTCTCTATTGCGTTGCGCCTCTGTGCCCCCGGTGACCGGGCCCTCCCCTGGTCTCTTCGTCCCTGGTGCTCTGCATGTCTGCTCCTCCTCACAGCCAGAAGGAGCAGAGAACCAAGACTTGGAGAAGCATAGCTTCCCCCACTTCTCCGCATTTCTCCCCACGTACTTGTCACACCTCGGCAGAGCCAGCAGATAGTGCGGTATCTTCCCGCACTCTCCAGGAGGTCGAGTCATTCCGCGTATCCGCCCTCGTCATTTGGTGTAGATCCAGCCATGGGCACCAGTCCTCCAATTGTTAGGACGTTAACTGTGGTTGACCTTGACAAGATCCGTTGCCAGCAGCCGATGGCGGTAGCGCCCACACCTTACCCCAGTCGCTAGATTGGCTCACCCATTCTCTGAGCTTCACGTCGCCGAACCTTCGCTACTCATGACCCCCGTCAATTCCAAGGGGTCCAGGGGCACAGAATTTGGCCGAGCAGCCACTGATTGTGGATTTACCGGCTCCTGTGTGCCTTGGTTGGCGATTTGGGTGTTTGGTGTGTCTCCCGTTTCATTATGTCAGCAAGCAGAGAACCGAATTACCAAGGTAAAAACAATTCCGACCAACCGAGATTCTTCCGATGACAAAGCAAACACTCATCTTTGCCGACCAGATTGGCCAGGTCTTTAGGCCCGCAGCCCCAGTCGCACCCCGGAAGTCAATTCATGAGATCTCCGGCGCGGAATCTCACTCCCGCCCCGGATTCTCAACCTCCACCGAATCTCACAGAGTGGGTCGTGGCTTCTGTCTCTGTTGCCCGCCGACCTCCGCGTCAGACCACCGCCATGAATCCTCTCACGTTGACTGTCGACTGAGAACGGCTGTGTTACCTTTCCCAACACTGCATCAGGTCGTCGGGAAGAATTTTCTGGTCACTAGCAAGTATTCATTCGCCGGTAGCAACAGCGCGCAATACATAAGGTCGGTAAGGGAGCCTCAGTGACAGTTGCACACACAGCCAAATGTGGGACATACAATAAGCAGCCGTTGTTTAGTCGAAGTTTGGTCATCAGAATACTGCTGCTGGCCGGGAACTTCGCCGGTTACTTCGCCGAGTGATGAAAGCCTGGCCTGACGGCTTTATTTCTATCGGGCCATCCACAAGTGCCATTACTCTTTATCGCGGGATGGCATTGTTTTAGCTAACATCACTTCGCGCTAGAAACAATGATACATTTCGGTGGTATATCATCTCATTAAGTTGACGAGGACCTATCTCGGCACACATTGTCTCAAATGATCCCACTTTCCTCCAGATCGCAATGTCCCTCAATGGTGTGGTCTTCACTGCATCATGCTTCTCTACCTGGACACTTGCCAATGAGGCAGTCTCGACTCTAAGCGTGGCAGCCTCACATGGATAATACTCGAACACCTGTCTTCTATGCGTCCCTTACCTTATGTCCACAGGCAAAGCCAGCGTTCCCTTCTACTTTGCGAAAGTGGAATAGATAAGAAGGAGGGCTTGGCCAGAACTCATCCGTTCTTCCCATCTGAAGGTATATTCGTCCGACGTTCCCACTCAATCTGCCTGAGTCGGTGAGACTGGTTTGTTGGGAATTGGATGCCTCCAATGGTTATCACAAACGGCCCCTCAGTTTGAGCGCCGTATCGTATCAACAGTATATATCACATACCCTAGAGGCTTTGCCTACCTTCCTTGTATGACTAGAACTCAATACCTGAAACGGAAGCCTTGTAGCCTTTCAACCTTTCTTGTACCCCCCGAAGGTGCTGGCGAGCCCCCCCCCCCCCCAATCATCCACTACAGTTGCCTTTGCCAAAGCTTCGAATTTGAAGCCAACTGTCTTCGGCTCAATAAAACCATCAATTACCTTGGCACAGTCTCTATCTGACGAGGAGTAGAGAGTCCCAAGGTAGAATGGTATTCCTCAAGTCGTCTTTTCTACAGCAAGCTACTATTCTTACCGGACTTGACAGCATAGGAAAGCCCCTGCTAGCAAGATTTCTTCCACTCTGGAAGGTCTACCGTCGGCAGTTTCTTGGATATAAACTCAGCTTTTGATCACGAATGCCCGACAAGCGTTGCGCTTGGCTGGCAGGAATAGTCATCTAATAGCCGTCTGAAGACATCACCTTGCTAGATGCTTTCAATGGCTGAGCCAGTCTTTCTCATGCCAGCGTACTGCATGCCACGCTATATTCATCACTCAGAGGCGCTGGATGCTCGGATGTAAGATGACTCGGTGGATTTTTCCTTTCAATTTCACAATTGACAAACATAACAAACGCCTATTGCTTAGACTCGCTCTCCTAACAAGGGAACCAGATGTTGATAATTGAGAGCTGAAACAACTGTATACTAGAAACGACGAGAGACATGTAGAACCTCTCATAAAACTCCTCACCCGCCTTGCATGAAAACTTGGTCGCTCCTGTCTCTTCCGTCTTCTATAAGGCTTAGACTGAAACGAAAGATATTTGTTTTGGGTAATGGATCACCTGCACCTTCCAAATCTACAATGCTAATATTCTTCGCTCTTTCCCACTGTGAATCACGCAAGTCCAGCCGGTCCTTCTTTACGGTTCGGCTAAGTGCCCCTTTGGGCAATCAAAACTTTTCACACACCCTCTGCTCTTTCCTTATGTTACTCTCCTCCTGCCTTCGAACTTTCGAAATCTTCTTCGTTAACCTCGATCCTGCTCTAAGATCTGCGGTCTCTTTCCAGCACCTTCTTGAGTTCGCACTGCGATCCTACCTTCGAACCTGCGGTCCCTTCTTCGCACCTTCTTCAGCTCGCACTGCGATCTTGCCCTGAGACCTGCGGTCCCATCTCCGCACCTTCTTCGCGTTGCGGTCCCTTCTTCGTTCCTTCTTCATAGGCACTGCACTCCTGCCTCTGAGCATCCCCTCCCCACACCGGAGGATATTTAAGAGGGGCTTTCTTCTGCAATCACACTTCTCTCTTTCACACACCCTCACTTCTCTCACACACGCTTCCGCTTCTCTTGCCCACACAATTCTACTTCTTCCACACACACACACACACTCCAACTTCTCCCATACACATATTTTCACTTCTCCCACAGACACTTCCACTTCTCTCCTGCACACATTCTCCGACTTCTACCTTGGACACTATTCCACTTCTACTTCAGACACTATTCCGCGTCTGCTTCGAACGCTTTACCACTTCTACTTCAGTCACTCTTCCACTTCGACCTCAGACACTTTTCCACTTCCAACTCGGACACTCCCGTCTTCCGCGTCTGCTTAAGACACTCTTCTACTTCTACTTAAGACACACTTCCCCCTACTTCAGACAATCTTCCACTTCTTCCTCATACAAACTCACGTCTTTCATCTACAACCGCACTCTCAAAGAGTGTAGCCTCTTTAGGTATTCCGTGCAGCTCGACCGTGAACCGGTCTTCCTATTCTTCATACTTCTTTCACATATTTTCAAATCCTTCTATCGTACCAAGTCGACTTCCTTCAACCGTTCGCACCTTCGGTTTTCAAATTACCTAGAAGTGCCGTTCGCACCTGACGTCTTCCAACCTACCGAGAAGTGTCGTTCGGACCTGACGTCTTTCAAACCACCGAGAAGTGCCGTTCGGACCTTTTCAGGCTGCGACCATTCTTCAACCTACGTGATACACACCTTACGATCGATAGTAGAACCCCTTCTCTTCACATCAGTTCAAGTACTCGGCAAACATGATGGCCGATATCAGCAAGCTTAAGGCTGAGCCTTTTGGAGAACCCCCCGTTTGGGCTGCAACCCGACAGGCTCTTTGCGATGCCCTGCCTTACTACAAAGCGCACCAGAGCAGTGCTCACACCAACAACAAGACTATGGTGGGATTTCTCCTTGGCGGCTTTCCAACTATTCGAGACCGCATGGATGCAGAGGTCATCATCACTGCGCTGTAGGTGCTTCCCAAACTTCCCTCGCTAACCAACTGCTAACAGTTTTGATCTGTGGCAGCGGTGGCGGCAGAGAGCGCGATGTTGATGGCAACATGATCCGAGTCAAGGAGAGCTTTGAGAGAAACTTGTCCTCTGCCCAGGCTTCCATGATGAAAGCCATGCCCGTTGGCGTCATCTTAGGTAAGTCAATCCTTCGAAGCAATACCATGCTTGAACATCATACTCATTTTCAAGTAGATAAGAGCTACCCCGGCTTGTCCATCGCCACGGAGCACAAGTACAGCGTCATGGCGTTCTTCACCATCACGGACATCTGGTCCGAGAAAGAAGCCAATGGACAGTTCTGCCACAAGATTCGACTTGAGAAGATCGACCGTTCTACACCATCTTGGTGGCAGGCAAAGGCTGAAGTTCAACACACTGTCAACCCTCAGGAGTTCAGTGACGTTCGCCAAAGCTGTATCAAGTGCTTGAAGACGTCCAAGCAGTACTTCATTCAGGGCTGGACCTGCCTGAATGCTCACTGCGAAGAGTCATTCATCTTCTCCTCTGAGACCGACATCATGGGGCTTGTACCTGCTTCTCACTGCTCCGCAGCCCTTGCTTGGTGCATCGACTGCCACCAGCACTGCAAGACGGTCTTCTCTGCCGGATGGACCTGTCTCAACCGCAAGTGCAAGAATTTCTTCATGTTCCCAGCTGGCGTGGATGTTGCTCGCCTGGAATACTCGGAGAGCTTTCTTCAAGAGAGAACAACGTTTCAACTCCCCAAGCAGCCTCTTCAACCGAACCTTCCATCCATGAAAGGCCATCTCGGCACTGAGAATACAATGCGTCAGGGTATTGTCTGTCCTCAGTGCCACGGCTGCTCGAGACGAATTGACTGGACTCACTGGGCTTATGAGAACCCAATGTGCAATTTTGTCTTGATGGCTAAGCCGGCTGCATTCCCTCTGCAGGATGTCCTCCAAGAGGAGACTCACGTCAAGAGAACGCATGGGTCTAGACTCTACGATACAGGAATTCTGCAGCACCACGCCCAGATCAATGGTCTTTTCATTGAACAATATCTTCTTCCGGATCTCAACGACACCAGCAGAATTATTGGCTCGGTCAGTATCATCCGCACGAACCAGACTGCGAATGGACAAGCTGGCGGTCCTGATGAGATGTGGAAGATCTCTAACGAGTCGGTCGACACCTTCGACCTGTCTAGAAATTCGGTGGTTCATCCCGGATGTAAGTCTTCACCCAAAGCTGTTCCACAGAACCCGTCACTAACATGTTGCAGTACCCACAGAGAAGCTGACGAGAAACTTCCTCCAGAACTGGGGCGCTCCCTACAAGTTCGTCGTCGCAGTGGACTCCAAGCCATTCTCAGCGGCTCCCGAGGCCTTCATTGGAGCCCTCAAGAGAATGGAGTGGGCTGGTGAAGTATCGATCGAGATGACGAACGAAGTCTTGGGAGTTGTTGACCGCCACGCTCAACATACTGGACTTACTCGGGATTCGTCTATCACTCCTGAGTTCACCAACTTCAACGAGCTGTTATCCATCGGCTACATGGAGAAAGACAAGATCGGCGTTAGTAACCTTATGATTTCTTTATAAACTCAAAGCTGACTTTTATAGTTTCACGATGATGGCGAAGATACCTTGGGCCCTACAGTAGCGACACTTTCTTTAGGAAGCCCGGCAATCATGTTCTTCGCCAAGAAGACAAAGAGTGTGAAAAATGCAAAGAGAGGAAAGAAGGTGAAGGAGGATGAGGAGTACCGGAAGGTGGTTCTCAAGTTCCCCCTGTACCATGGTGACATCGTGGTTATGCATGGCTCCCGCATTCATGAGGAGTATCTGGTAAGTGCCTCTGAGATGATTGGGAGCACAGGTATTGACATTACTATAGCACAGGGTCGATCC